CCCCCCCAGCAGCAGCAGCAGCAGCGGGAGCTGCTTCCAGCTGTCACAGAAAACATGATTTTGGCATCTTCCCTCTCTGTAATTTGGATTTTCAGAATTATAATCTGACATCTGGGGAATCTTCTCAGTCAGAGAAGGAGATCTGAGCAGTCGGCTTCATTTGGGAGCCACTTAAGAAGAAGAAGAAGAAAGAAAGAAAGAAAGGCACCTCCTTTGTGGGAAGAAGGGAGAGGCAGTGTTGAGAGAAACTAAAATAAAGCACACGCACAGAAAAGAGTCATAAAAACCTGACTGGAGGTATTCAGTCAGTTATCAAAGGGCCATCCTTTTTTTGGGTGGGGCCGCTGCTTCTTGCTGAAAGGGAGGAGGGTGAGAAGATGTGGGAGAGAAGAGTGCTGATCTAAAAGTGGTGGAGGAGAGAGGGATGGAGTGAGTGAGGGGAAGGGAGGGGCCTAAAGGGTGGGCTTGTAGTCATTGTCAAGCAGCGAGTGAGAGCAGACCGAGTGAGGAGAGTGTGTGCAAACTGGGATGAGTGGATGCACCGGCCAGTTCAGCTGTTGAAACAGCCACAGTGAGAGAGCGAGGGAGAGGGTGTGTGTGCACGAGAGTGAGAGTGTGTGCACGTGAGAGAGGGTGAGAGCGAAGAAGAAGTGAAAAGGAAGAAAGAAGCAGAGAAGAAAAAAGGGAGGATACTACAACTCCAGCCATGCTGTGCTGCATAAGAAGAACCAAACCGGTAACGTGCTCTGCTCCTCAGCATCTCCTCCTCTTTCTACTCCCTAAATGAAACCTTTCTGCTCTGAACTTTGGGACCGGCTGCCTCCTAGTCAGATGAGTTTCCCTCGAGGATTAGGGAAACGTTGGGGTTGATTCTTGTCTTTAGAAGAATCTATCCACAAAGCCCAGACACGCCTAGTTAATGTGATTATCCTGCTTGAATGGATGTTGCCACAATGCCTCTCAGACCTCACACTGTTCTCACAGAGAGGCACACGACTGCAACTTGATCCGGGCCAGCTGGCTCGTATTGATCGAACGCTTAAAACAAAAAGTTTAAGATAATTGAAAGGCGCTTGACAGACGAAAGTAAAAGTCTTGATTTATTCTGGAACTCCTGTGAACTCATCTGTCATAGCTAATGATGCTTCATAATGATCAGAGCCAGTGTTCTCCTAATGGATGTCTTAAACTCTTGCATTTTTCTGTAACGGTGTTGCATAGATTTGAGGCGGAAGGAAAATTTCCACGGTGTGGAAGGAAAAAGGGTGGGGTACGGATTGAGTGAGCGCCACCATCGTGTCGGTGGCCTCGTGGGAATACAATGGGAATAAATGAGTATAAATGGATTATCACAGCCCTCCAGCTTTACAAGTGGATGCTGTCAGTGGAGGCTTGTGTGGAGTGTGCACTCATTTAAAGGGTGTTAAAGTGTACTTTGTATTAACCAACGTCCAGACTCGGAGGAAGAGAAGAATAAAAAAAGAGAAGGTGTGACATAAAGGAGGATGGAGCAGCTATCATGGTGGTTCTCTGTGTGTGAGATCAGAGCCTTGTTCCTGCTGCCTTCCTCAAACTGATTAGGATTTTATCAGACTCCTAACAGGCTGGATTCTGATGGGACTTGATTGCTTCTTAAATGTCAGCCGGGATGAGTCATATCAGCTCCTGCATGGAGGAGAGAGAGAGAGCTGAGGCAGCAGGGTTTGCTGGTGAGAAGACCTGCAGGAGAACGCACGGAAAGAGATGCAGGGTGGAGCGTGGCTGCTGCACATGGAGGTGAATGGGGGTGCGAGAGGAAGAAGGCGCTGAAGCAGAGGTGAAATGAGGATTGAGGTGGGGGGAGGGTGGCTGCAAGGTGTTTGGGGGAGGTGGGGAGATGCAGGGATGCAGCAAAGCAGAGTGGTAAAAAAAAAAGAGGAAAGAAGTGTCTGTTGAGGGAAAATGCTGGTGGAGCAGGTGAGGAAGCGTGAAGGTATAGAAGCCGGCGTGCTGCAGCCATGTGGGTGAGGCTCTTCTCTCTGAGTTCTTGCCACGGGGAGGAAACACCCACCCAGCAAGCAGTCCCCCCCCCCCCCCGCTTTTGGAGGCTAAATCAATCTGGACAGACGGCGTGGTTCTCATGGATGGATGAGCAAAAAGCATGAATTTGTGCTTTGCTAACACGTCTCTGTGGAGCGTAAGTGCTGCGGCAGCGCTTTCACTGCACGGGAGTGGCTGCTAGCTTCTAACAGAGGTGTAGCTTCAACCCCCACTTTAGCCTTCTTGAATTTATCTTATTTTATAAAGGCGTGTTCACGAGTTTAACTCGAGTCCAGCGGGCCTTATCTGCACCAGCTCTGCAACTGACTTAACTCCTTCATACCAGGACCCCCCCTCTGCCAGTCAGGCCTTCACATCAGGCTTCAACCCTCATTTTTCTAATCCCAAATTGAATTATAATGCCCAGGCTGCTACCTAAGAGATGATTACTTCCTCCTGCCCAGTGGCTGCCCATGTGCTCTAAGACGTTTCCTCTTAGCTTGATTTTAGCTACAGAGTGAGCCCACTTCTCACTCTCCTGCTTCCAGCAGCCCCACCCCTCATGTCTGACCATTTCTCTCTCTTCTCCAGTATTTCTCCTCTCCATACTTCCCCTCATCCTCATCCCCGGCCCCTGTGAGATCAGTGGCGATTGCAGAGCCTTTGTTAGGGCAGAGAGCCGGTGTAATTGAATTAAAGGCTGCTCCAGAGGATGTAACGAGGCTGGCATATGGCTCTTATTAGTTGCTGCAGAGCATTTCTCCCGGGCCATCGTAAAAACGGTAAAATAAAAATATTCCGCCCTTTTACATCGGTCATAACTTTGTCGTCTGAGGGGAGAAATAACCATAGGAGGCGATAGTGAGCAGGGGTGGGTGAGGGAGTTTGTGGCATCCACCACCTGAGCCCCCCTCTCCTCTTCTGCAGGAGACAGCCGGCTAAAAGGGTGTGGTGCTCCGTCGAAGCATGTGTGTGTGGGAGAGAGAGAGAGGATGAGTGGGTGGCAGTTTGCTCACTGAGAAACAAAGTGAAAGACATGAGAAAGGAGTGAAGCCGCCTTTGCTCTTTGGTGTCTGGATGTCTCATGGAAGAACCAAAAACCAGACAGACATTCACATCTTGTAGGAGAGAGTGAAGGCACATGCAGCGAGGCTGAACACGTCAGTGTGGCAATGTGAGCCAAAAGTTTAAGGAGTCTGAATAAACTGTTTTCTCCTTAATGATCTGGTATTTAGCAGCTGCACCTGTTGGCTGTGAGATAAAAGGTCTTGGCAGCTTAAAAACACAGTTAGCATCTTTCATTCCTCCTGCTAGCTGCTTGGTCCCTTTCTGGGCAGAGGAAGGTAAAAGACCAGAACCCACCACGACTACACATCTTGTCCATGCATTAGCCTGATTTGTGGATCCTCTGGTTATTCAGCCAACCTCTATGCTCCATTGTGCCCCCCCCCCCCTCCTGAAACAAACCCTTAATGGTTTTCTGAGTGAGGCAGTAGAAAGGTGCCAAATTATTACCGTAGCGTGTCGCCACTGGTTGGGGGGATGGTTGGCGATGTGCCTGTGTGTGGTTACAGATAAGTCAGTGAAGCCATTGAGTGTGGGGAGGGCGGGGGGGAGGCTGTGGCCACCCAAGGACAGACAGGTACATCCACACATGATGGACTCGACCTGCACAACTGTTTGATATATTTTTTGCCAAAACACACAGGGGGGTGTCAGGGGTCAGTAACATTAAAGCTTTATAAACTGTAAACTGTTACACATTCAGAGTATGAAGATGACAACCACAGCAACACAATAAAACTCTAAACCCATACTTCCAGTGTCTTAACTTACCGTATCCATGGCAACCACAATGACTGAACAGAGCGGAAACTCTGCGGTCTGACTGCAAAAAGAAAAATGTAATTTAAGCGACGCCAGAATTGCAAACAAGTTGCCTCCTAACAAATGAATTGGGGAAGAGCCTGAGCGGTGTTTGTGTGCAGATTTAACCGGAGTGTACCGATGCTGAGCCTTTTTGGGGGTGGTGTCGGGGGGGTGTCTGGTGTTGGCTGTATTTATGAATGAAAATGTGTGCCGCAAAGAGGAGGGTATATGTGACCGGTGATTAATTAAAAAGTCTTTAAGCAGTTTCTTAAAGAGCTTTCAATTATGTCTCAGTTCAGATGATATGATTCTTACATATTGTCACCAACTAATGGGAACCATTAAGCACTCATCTGTCAGCCTGCAGGAGGAACACGACTGCACTTTTATCAGATATGATGTTGTTGTGATGCCTCGTCCTGTCTTCTTACACCCGGATGAGATCATTTGGCACTCTGTTGGTATTTAATTACAATTCCACTCAAACACACCCCACCATCCCAAAAGTAAATCACAACCTCTCTGCTCCAGCAGTGATGTCATACCTCCCCCATTCCCAAACACCCTCATCAATCGCCTCCTCTGACTGTCTGACTCACCCAACAGCCAGTAAGTAATTCAGTTTAGAGTTAAGTGCTCAGGTCAAATTTTTTGGCAATTGTGAGATCAGCTCAATAAAAGTCCAATAAGTCACCGGGGACTGGAATATTATGAAGAGGAGAGGGCGGGGCCGGGGTGCTTCATCCACTCCAGTGATATTATTTAAATTTTTTACAAAATAATTTATCATTTAGTAAAGATTTCTGATTAAAGTTTTGGTCGTAGGAGCCATGTTTTCTGTAAAGTTTTACGATATCGTCAATGAGTAATGAGAGAAATCACTGTTCAGTTGCGTCTCTGACTTGTTAAAATCTTTAATAAACTAAAGTCATGCCCCGTCTACACTTCCTCAGATTTTTTTTAAACATCTTTTTCTTTTAAGTTTTTTTTTCTCAATCCACATTTTTCAAACTAAATGTTAAAATATCTGTAGGAAGAACGTCCACATGAACATCAACAAACCTGTTTAGCTTTAGTCCTTGTAAAATATGTTTTGCTTCAGTGGCTAACACTTTTAGCACACAATCATGTTTAATGACGACAGGCTCGGGATAATGTAAGACAAATGTCAAAAGAAAAATCAACTCCATTGTTGTTGTAGTTTTCAGGGTGTAAAAGTGTGCCGGACATGAGTGAAAATAGGCTGCTCTGTTATTGTCCCAGAAAAGCTCATATTTAAAAAAAAATCACCTTGGAAAATAGTTATGTCTGTTTTTTTCTTCCCCCATAACTCTCTGTTTTTAATATCCGATGTTGTGTGAACGAGTCTCAATTTTTTACATTTGCAGAGCATTTTAAAGTAATTAAAAACCCGTTTTTTTAATTATTTTTTTATTATTTAAAAAACAAATTGTTCAAAATATCTCCAAGGTGAAGGTGCAGATTAGAAGAAGTGCGAGGCTTGGGTCTACACTCTGGTCCCAGAGGGGATGAAGGTGGAGGAGGTGAACGTCACACCTGGGTCTGCTTCGGTACTGACACACTGACCCTGAAGAAGACATGCTGGCTCGGGGCCTCTGGCTCTAACAGTAAATCACAGCGTGCTGATGTGACTCCTCATGCAGGCCTCGGTCCAACTCAAACCCTCCATCACATGCACAGACACTAACAGAGGCAGAAGGAAATGGACGGATGGGTGTAGTAACGTGACCGCAGTTCTCACTCAAACTGACTTTAAACATCACGCTGCGGGCTGTTGACACACACAGCCAATATCAACACATTAACATCTATATTACACCTTCCAACCCCCACCACCACACCCTGCAGTTGCATTGCAATCCCTTTCCTTGCCATGCCGATTGCACTGCCTGATTTATGACTTATTGGCCCGCTCCCCTGAGGGGTCAGGCACAACGCCAATCAGGGTGATATACAGTCTTTCATAGAACCAACCAGCAGACAGGGTTGTGATGAGTTAGCACTCTGGTTGTCAAGGTAACCTTTGATGGTTGGTGCAGGCATGGCAGTGAATGCTGAGGAGATTCTCGCAGGCTCCTCGTTCACCAGCAGACGTGGAGCTGCCTCCGTATGCACAGGGAGGGCAGAGATGGGCTCATAAGTAGCAATCTTGGACTTTTCAGGACATCATTAGCAGAAAAAGTGCTCAGCGCTAATGGATGCCAAGGGGGAGGATCTGCATTTAAACACATTTACTTACTAAAGCCATTTTCAGTAGCATTATCAAGTGCAAAAGACCAGCCGCTGCCTGGGTAGAAAAAGCTGAAATAAATACTTGGAGTCATTTGTATAGCTCCAACTCCCAGAGTGTTTGAACCATTATGTGGAGACAATCGACACACACACACATGCACACACACGCACACGTTACAGTGAAGCTAAATGGCCTTTAATCAGCTAATTTGTGATATCTCAAAGGACAAAAATACCATTAGATTGTGCATGTTTTTGTCATTTTTTTTTATTTAATAACTAATGCTGTACAGCCTGCATGCCTTTTGATGCTTTGTGTTCTTTATTTTGCTCACATGAATTCATTTTATGGGCATCGTTATTATTTTATTGAATTGTACCAAGTGAGTATTAAGCATTGACCTGTTTTCCAATTTATTTTCAATGTACTGAGTCTTATTTTATTTTTTTTGTCGCTTTCAGTGCTCATCCTTCATCTTTTAATTTGATTTGATTTCTTTTTATTAGATTTTTATGACTCATAACACAACCCACTCTTTGATGGACAGCTATGGATTCAGATGCCAAAGGTAACACCACTGAATGTCTTTCAGTGTTACAGTGAGTTCTGCCCTATGCTCCTAACTCTGTTCCTTATCCCATCACACGCCTTGATGCATTTCTAAACGTCTCCTGATCTAACCCACTTTTTGAACCCTTCAGTTTTTTGGAAAAAATCAAAACTATTTTATACAATGGTGCAAAGCTTTGAGCCACTCAAGTGCTTCGAAGGAGGCAGCTGGGGAAAAAAAGTTGTTTTTTTAATGTTACTAGCAGCTTGTCACATAGACCAATTTGATCCAGTTTATTTAGTTGAGTCTATATGAATTGGTGAAGGTTACAGTTTAGTAGAAAGAAAATTGTTTTTTTTCCCCACCAACAATGGGATTTCCACGGAGCTTTTAGCTGAAACGTTTGCAGCCTGTATTGCCGTGACCTGCAGTTTCTGCTCATTCACTGCATCTAGTTGTTTAGGCCTGTTTCTACATCTTTAGTCCATCAATTGTGCAGTTTCTCACATTTTTTATATAACTACTGCCCACTGCCAAGCTATAAGCTCAGTGGGGAAAAAAGTAGCAAATAGTTGAGAAAAACCTGTCAAAGAAATTTAGAAAGTATGAAGAATAACTGCTAAACATCACTTTAAGAAAACATGATAAGGTGGCCCCTTTATAAGCATATTATAGAACATAAGGTTGGCTCAAGACTTTCAAAGTACTCTAGCTTCATTTATTTTCTATCCTGTCCCAGTTCATTACATTTGGACAATATGTAATGAACTTCAGTTGGATGCTAATCTCAGTAGAATGATCCCTGATCTACAAACCTGATAGAATAACACTTGTCCAGTTTTCAACCTTTAGATTTTTACCATTGCTTTCAGCTGTTAATGTGTTTTTTAACTTGTTTTTTATCTGTTGCCCATCAGGTGGAGAAGAACGAAGATGCGGACCAGAAGATTGAGCAGGACGGCACCCCCAACAAACCCGAGGACAAGGCCCACAAGGCTGCCACCAAAATACAGGCTAGCTTCCGTGGACACATAACTCGGAAAAAGATGAAAGACGGAGAGGAAGATAAGGAAGGAGACAGTCCTGCTGCTGCAGAGGAGGCGACAAACGGAGAGGAGACAAAGGAGGCAGAGGGAGAAGATGCACCTGCTAAGCAGGAGGAAACTGCAGGAGGGGAGGCTAAGAAGGAGGAGGAGGTAACAAACCATGCTAAAAGCCCAGCGGCAGACAAGCCAGCTAACTCTCCTGCAGGCACGGCAACATCTCCTGTAGCAGCAGCCCCAGCTGCTGCCTCCCCCATGGTTGCTACAGCGCCCTCCGAACCGCAAAAAGAGGAGCCCAAGGTGGAGGAGAAAGCCGAGGAGAAACCCAAAGAGGTGGAGGCTCCAGCGGCATCAGCCAAGAGTCCCACCACAGCCACAGCCGAGGAGAATAAGGAGGAGGAGAATAGCGAGGAGAAGAAGGAGGAGGCCAGAAAAGCCGATGTGCCTGCTGCTGTCAGCCCGACAGCTGAAAAGGAGGAGCCTAACCAAACAAACGATAAACAAGGTATGGAGATTACAGCCGCAATGTGAGTAAGCACAGTGAGTCTCTGAGCCAAACACTTAGGATGTGCAGAATATGTCTTTTCCTCCAATCAAGAAGCAATTAGTGTAAAAACCTAATAAAGACTTGGTGAGCTTTCACAGTCTTCTTGGCAGGCACGTCTGGATGGAACTGCTTGTTGAGTCTTTGGTCTTTAAAGATGTTTGGCAACACTCCATTATTTACTGGTTAGCACATGAAATACAGCTCAATATTACATTAGACAGGCTTGTATGTCAGCCTGCGCTTGAAGGAAACCCCATAGTGATGAAGAACAGCTTTGGACAGAAATCCAGTCTCAATATGTATAGCAGTGGCTATCACAGGGTGGGAGCATCATTCTGGGACTGATCAAAGCTTTTATGGACTGTACTTATATAGCACCTTTCTATCTTATTGAGATACTCAAAGCGCTTTACACTACAATCTGTGTCCTCATTTACCCATTCACACAGCACTCTATTATATCTCTACAAAACGAATTGAACAAATCATTCTAAAGAGATTAATCAGTGCTTTATCACAATCATACACCAATGGGACACACATCGGAGGCAGTGAGTGGTTCAGTGTCTTGCTCATGGACACTTCGGCATGTGACTGCTGGTGGATTCGAACCCCCAACTCGTGCATTGGAGGACGACTGCACTAACCACTCAGCCACAGCCAACCTGACTGTTCTTATGAAAAAGAAGGGCTCCATTGTTTGAATAGAAAGCTTCATTTTAGTAAACACATTTTTGGAAGGTTTTAGATTAACCTGCTTTACTAACTAATACATTTTTGAGTGACTTTCAACGAGAACAGAAACAAAACAAAGTGAGAAGCTCCTGAGAAGAACTGACATTTGTGGTTCAAGGACTCCCAGACTGGGTCAGACAGGTGGTTGATGGAGCACGCTCTGTGTGGGGGTGGTGGTGGTGGGGGGGGGGGGGGGAAGGGGAAACACACAGACAATTAAAGAACTACCCAGAAACTAGGTCACCTAGGCAGCACTGTCTCGCCGTTGTCATAGTTACCACCTCAACAGGGTGACTGTCCTGTTCCGAGCCGGGCGGCCACAACAGGTTCTCTGATTTAACTGAATGATTAATGATCCGTACTGGTGGCGATCCACACTGGGGAGTTTTGCTACAAACAAACACTACATGAAAAAAACATGCTAATTAGCAACCCCTTATGGGCTGTAGTCCACTGGACGACACTGAACTGATTCAGACAGCAAATTCATTTTTATTACTGATTTAATTGGATAATGCTTCTTAACCTAAGGATCAAAGTTAGATGAGTCCTCGAGGCTCAATGGGATTCACCTGTCTAAATAAAGGTTGAATGAATGAAAAAGATGCACAAAAACACCAGAAACTTTACCTTAAGGGAACATTTCTATTGTCCAGAAAGCTAGTTTATAGCATTTATTCTACTCTGAGTCAACTATCACAGCACTGATCCCACCAACATTGGCATGATTTGATTATATAGCACTCTCAACTAGTAAAACCCAACACAAACATGTCTTAAGGTTGAGTAATGAGATAAAAGAACAACATGCACACACACAAAACCTCCACAATAAATGTCAAAACATTATCACTTAAATTTTATTATTCCCCAGTCCTAGGGACAGATAATTAGTCATTAGTGATTCAAGGTGTAATTGGTGAGTGCATTGTTTGTTAATGCATTAAAAAAATAGTCAGTTTTCAGAGATCTGGCTTTAGTAAAGCACAGAAAATATCTGCAACACTTTCACCCAAGTCCTTGTTTTAAGCCTTAACCTTCACACTGGATAATAATCCGACTACACTTACCAAGACCTACACAACTTATCAGACTCTGGCTGGTTCACACCAAAGTTGGAAAACCTCTTTAAATGCACACGCTTGAAAGCAACTATGGTATTGCTGCAATCCTAGTATATGGCAAACATTTGGTTTTTCCTGCTATTTTCCATGTCCCAAAGATGCTCTTCCAGTACCCTCAAACTGCGCACCTGCCCTGGAATGACTCTCAGACCTTGTCAAGATTCAGCTACTTGCTAGGAAGTCATGCCACCATAGCTCAATGCTACTTCCAATGGTATCATATGTGGTTCTTATGATAGTGTCACAGTCCTAAACACAAGGCTATAATGGCCAGTCCTGCTTAAAAGTCTCAATGACAAAACCATACATACATCTTGTAGACATTGTTAACACATGGCACATGGCATCATCTTCCATTGTGGAGGGGACCTTAGTTTTTGGTATATCCAGCAGGAATGAGTAATAAGATCAGATATGGAGCTCTTTATTGCCTACCAAGTGACTCTTTGGAAATAACACATTTTACAGTCTAATTGAGTCAGAGACTTGAGAATATTGTGAGGATTTACTGTGAAGCATGACGTGAAGCAATTAAAATGTTTTGCAGACAACTTGATTCTTCGTAGTCCTGGAAAACCCCACAGAATAAAAAATTAGGAAAGAATCTGACAACATACAGATAACATTTTTCAAGAGGATATCGTAACATTTTGATCAGGAATATCTATTTTATCCTGATTTAAAGTTTTAGGTGTTACTTGGATTTTATAATTCCAAAGGGAATAGTGGATGCAAGAAAAACTGCTACATAGAGTTAGATGTCATTTGCATAGACGCAAAATTATTTTAGTAATTTTATTTTGGCAACATTTGAAAACCCTCTACAGTCATTTCTGTTTGCTTCAAATGAATACAAAAAACTTGTAACTTGTATAAAAAATTGAGTCCAGTAATGATTAATTTTGTGATGTGTACCTGTGGAAATTGAACATTTTATACCAGTTCACTGACATGTTTGTCATTATCATCTCTACTGTGGAGAAAGTGTCACTGAGGCCAGAGCAGCGCAGACAATAGGCGTTGGATCAGACAATTGAGTGAAATCATATTTGCTTCACACCATTTCAGCAGCTGTGGAGAAAGACGTTCTAGTAGCTGTCACACAAGCTAACAATCTAATTACCTCTTACCTGGAAGATCTGCTATGACTCATGCCGTCCTGTGTCACATACTCACACATTAGAGCGTTGACATGATCGCCCCTTTCCCTCCCACACATCCTCCCACACAATGCACTCTATCACCCCTAGTCTCAGATGCAATGATGTCATTCTCTGATGTGTGCTCGTTCCATTAAAATAATATGAGATCATCCCAATGTGACATCACTGAGCTGAGAGCACTTCCATAACAGGCTCTGTTTTAGACAATAAAAATCATATCACTGAACAACATGATGGAGTTTTAGCTGGTAAAACTTTTATTTTCTCGTGTAGAATTAGTTTTAAAACCAATAAGATTAAGGACAACACAATAATCTAAAGGAAAAGCCTTTAGTAATTGCTTCATAATGAATCATGAATTTCTGCTGAACATCACTCACCTCCATGTAAGCTGTCTCTAGACGTTATTACAGTGTAACCCACTGTGGACATCACACAGGATTGTATGTGACAGGCCAAGACGCTGCTGTTGGCATTGTCGCGTCGGTTCAAAGGCTTCACGGGTCCATTAGGAGCACTCTTCTCCTTCATTATTTACACAGTTGGTGTAGAGTTTTCAACAGTAGGCTGCTTCTTCATGATGACATGATCTTGGTGAAAGCGGAACTGACATCTTGAAAATGGCATAGAACTACACTGTTTTATCTCATTGTTTTCAGAACCTTCATTTCTTTCAGTGAAATATAAGGGAGTAAACCCTTAACCCCCCCAAAGCAGAAGTTGATATTTGATTTTTTTGAAAGTACGGTCTGCATTATATTACATAATGTATTGTATTGCATCATGTTATTGTCCCCAATCGCAGGGCAAGGACAGGGAATCAGAAATACCCCAGTCTGTCAGTCCATTTGTGCATTTGTCTGTCCGTGCATGTTACAAGTACCAACTTTTGTTTTGTTGTGTGGGTACATCTAGGCGTGAGATAGGTTCCTTTCAAAAATTGGGTTGCCACATCAAAATCTAAGGTGGCCACAACTATATAAATTGGCCACCGCAATCATTCTGAGGAAACTATGCTTTCTAGTTTTTATATTGATTAAAAGTATAGTTTCATCAAATAATTGGAGTGGCCAAAGATAAATGTATGGTGGCCAAGCCCCCTATTAGCCACCCCTCCACCATTTAGCATGGTTGTAGATAAAATTGCTCCATCCACTCACCAGGACCAACCACTCTGCGCTGGCTCAAGAAGAAAAAAAAACAAAACTGTTCTTCTACACAGTGTAACTCCTACCCATTTGAATAGTTTCCATAAAAACGTTAAGGTTTACTTGCATTTCCTAGTAAATCCCAGTCCTGAAATACTTGAAACATTTTTCTCAGAAACAACAAATATTCACTATTCAAATCCCTCAGAGTTGGGGGACATCAGAGTACTGCTTGTTCTGTATTATACTGGGAGAGGGTAAAATCAACCTTCCACTGGCTAATTTTCCCTCTTCTGTTTTGTTTCTCCTATTCTATACCTTTTCTTCCTTCTTCCTTACCCCTCCACCCTTCTTCCCTCTTTCCACACAGATGCTGCAGAGGAGTTGAAAGCAGAGGAGGCCGCCCCAGCAGACGGGGTGGTGGAGTCTTCTGAGTCCAAGGACGACTAAGGAGAAGTCTAACCACTCAAAAGCAGAATTACGAAGATAAAAATAAAAGAATAACACAAACAAAAATCTAAAAAGGTTGCTCTTTGCCTTCTCAACATGAAGGCAGTCAGTTTCTATTTGTTTGTCATTTTTTGTGTGGCAATGATTTTCTCATGTTGGGGGAGTTTCCAGTGTGACGTTTTTTGGCTCAAGCTAATAGTATGAGGAAGTTTAGGATGATGTTGGTGTTGTTAATAGTTATGAATATTGATTGTTACTTTGATGTAGATGGCGGTGGAAAGCTACATTTGGTACATGTCTACTTCTAATGTAAACATTGTTGAGATGACTGCTCTCAACTGGAACATTCACACGTTTAAAAAGCGTTGCCAATGCACCCCACTATGTTTGCACAGTAATGCATTTCCGTTAAAGCCACATTTCAGATAAAACCATTCTGCATTTGCACGCACAAAAACACACCAGTTTAAACATGGAACCCCAGTTTTAGCACACAACAAGTGTGTTGAGAACCCATCAAACAAGTAAAAGCACCGATTCATTGGATGGATAAAAGAATGTATGCTTAAATGTGTGACATTTCCAGTTGGGCGATTCTGTACCGAATTCAGAAACAACAAAAACAACAAAAACTAGTTCTCTTCCTATTCAGCTTGAGTTGTTCAAGTTTGGTTTACACCCCTTTTACAAACTGTCAGCTTGCATTTACCATAAAGGACCTATTGCCCTTCAAAACCTATAATAATCTGAAGAAAACAAGTTTAGTATTGACGTAACTGGCTCTGACATATATCAATTGGTGTTCTGCCAACCAAACGTGAGAACAGTAGCATGAACCATCGAACCAGATGCATGATGGGAACTCTCCCTTCGAGAGGAACTTCTTCGCAGTCACAAAAACTGCAGAGGTGTGGCGGCTTCTCTTTGATGTCTTTGGTGTTGTTATGACAGTTTATATGAATTGGAAAAAATGCTATTGCACTGGTGTTACAAAATATGATTCTGAAAAGAAAAAAAAAAATCAAATGAGTTGATGAACAAACAAATAAGAACTTCTTTTCCTATGTTTCAGTGAGTGCAATGTCCAGTTTCGACCCTATCAAGGATTTCAAACTTGTGAAAAAACAAAAAAGTTGAACAACTAAAAATGGTTTCCATGTCTGTTTTCAAAATAAAGCAAATGTGCCAATTACCATCATAAACTGTTGAGTTTGTTTACAGCCGACTTGAAGTGAGCTATCACTTCATGGAAAGCAATTTCTTCAACTTGTCCACCTATTTGATTATTAATCTTCAGGTGTTTTATCCATTTTGGACACATGTAGGTGTCATTTTAAATATGTTTATTGGTCCCTCATATTAGAAAAGGAACACTACATTTTCCCTTACCCAAGACAATAACTCAAAGTTTCTGAATAAATTACAGTATAAGCATATCCTTGCAGCTACTACCTGACATTAGTAGTGACTTTGGACTAAAGTATGTAGTAATCTAAGGTAACAAATGCTGACATTTTGATGTATAAATGGTAATAACAGTTGGAATACAACCATAATTCAAAGAAATGGTAAAGCTGCTAGTGGCTCATTGGGCTCACCATAGTAACCACAAAATAAATGAAGTTATGGACAAACATGACTGCCTGGAACGAGTAAAACTTATATTGGATATGGAAACTGAAAATAATTACATGAACATGAATTTTAATTACAACAGCATATAATCTGCCTATTCAAGTGAAGCATTTCCGTGTCTACCCTTAAAGAAATCTCCACCCCTAAAAGAGTGAAGTGCTAGGCTAGTGCTAAGTACGTGGGCAGAAGCTCACAGGCAGCAACAGGGCAGGCAGCTGGAGGTTTCACATGTGGAGTTGGACAACGAGCAGGGACAGAGTTGTGCTTGGAACGAAGCCCTACTTGAGCCTGACTTGCTTGACGGAACCGTCAAGGGGGTGGGGGTGGGGGGGCTGACAGAAGCAGAGTGTTTACAAATGTAGTTAAATGTAGATGTTTAAGAACCTGTTAAAATAGACTACACCAAAATGCAGGAAATCGCATCTACTTTATTAAAACTTTTCAGGGAAAGGATGCCCAGACCTCCCCTCCCCCCCGCCGCCGGCCTGGCTGCAAAGTCCTGGCTGCAAAGTCCTGGCCATCATCATTGTACAAACATGTGCAACTTACGTGTGTGACCAAACTCCTGGTCCGAGAGAAAGAGCGTGCTTCTGCGGGTGCGTGCTCATCCTGAAATTCACAATGAGACCGACTGTGCTTTAGTTCTTTTAAGTAAACAATATAATGTTAAAATACAAATATTTATGCCCCAGATTCCTGCTCTAATCCCTGTTTAAATGCTATTTATCTGTCTTGCAGACTAATTCCAGTATTTATTATTATTCCATTATTCCAGAATTGCGTCACTCAACGTTGCTGCATGTTGGAGTAGCTCTCACATTCATTCAGAGATTTTGCTTTGGAAAACTTTAATTGCTCTTTTTTTCTGAATGCAAATAGCTTTTTTCGAATGATTACTTCTTCTGGTATCAGATGTTATGCTGCTGGAAGGATTTTTACTGAAACCTTTTTTACTTTTGGACATTTGTTAGGATGCGTAACTATAACAACATGGTGGTTTTCTACAACTGGGAGCAGCTGATTAACATCTCAAAAGCTCAAATCTCAACTACAGCTCCGAATCCCAAATTAGTTGAAAAGAAGGTGCTGTGGATGCATTCCCATCTACCTGGAGGCAGTGCTTGAGTGCCTGACTGCAGATATTTTGGAGGTAGCGGAAAACACAGCTTGTGACAGCGGGAGGACCAAGATCATCCCCCGGCACCTGCAGTTAAGTCTGCGGCAACAAGGGGCTTGTCAGGCTGCTGGGAGAAATGGCCATCGCTCGGGGAGGAGTTCTGCCCAACATTCAGACAGTCCTACTGCCCAAGAGGACCGAGAGGTCTGCTGGGTCTGGGTGGACAGATCAACATCTGTAGCCAGTTTCTTCAGATCCGCTGTGGGACGGACTGCTACAAGAGATCCTTCCTGCCCAAAGACATCAGCATCTAGAACAACTCTAATGAAACTAAGATGAGCTACAATTCAATTCAGTTTATTTATATAGTGCCAAATCACAACAAAGTTGTCTCAGGGCACTTTACAGGAACATTCACATACATAAAAGCCAATTAGTAAAGTTCTCTATCTAAGGAATCCAGCAGACAAGTTGATTCTTGGCTTTGTTGCAGTCTCCCATCCTGAGCAAACACAGTGGAAACAGTGGAAAGGAAAAACTCCTTTTTAAAAGGAAGAAACCTCCAGCAGAACCAGGCTCAGGACAAGCGGCCATCTGCTTTGACCGGCTGGTTTGAGGGGACAGAAAGGAGAGACAAACTAACACAGAATGGTAGGTCCAGATATAGGTGATATATACTGTATATATGTACAACAAGAATTAATTTCCCTTTGGGAATAATAAAGTATATTTGAAGTTGAAGTTGAAGTAGAATACATCAGAGAGCAGTGACTTAGATCATCTTGTTGATAAATTTACAACTTCTTTGCAAACTTCACTTGATAAAGCTGCTCCACTGAAAAAGAAAGTAATCAGTCAGAGGAGACTGGCTCCTTGGTTCAATCCTGAGTATACGCACAAGCAGCTAGAAAGCAGGAAAGAAAATGGTGCTCCAATAACGTTGAATAATTTTATTTATCTTGGAGAGATAGCCTGCTAACTTATAAAAAAGCACTCCATAAAGCTAGAACTTTATATTATTCATCTTTATTTGATGAGAATAAAAATAACACCAAGCTCCTTTTCAGTACCATTGCTAGTCTAATGAAAAATCTTATCTTTGTTGAACCATGTATCCCTACAACTATAAGAAGTTCATGAGATTCTTTATAAAAAAAATTATTTCAAATAGGGAAAAAAAAAGACAAAGACATAAAGACATAAAAACCTGGATGATCCTTAATTTTCTACTTTTAAACTCAGACAAGACTGAGGTTTTGGTTTTTGGACCTGAGCATCTTAGGAATACATTTTTCAGTCTTTCACCCTCCTTAGATTCCATTAATCTGTCCTCCAGCTCTAGTGTTAAAAATCTTGGTGTTATTTTGGATCAGGACATGTCTTTTAACATTTTCTAGTAACATTAAAAACGTTACTAGAACTGCCTTCTTCCACCTGTGTAATATCGCTAAAATTAGAAACATCCATAAAATAAGGCAGAAAAACTGGTTCATGCATTTATTATCTCTAGACTGGACTATTGCAATTGTTTATTATCTGGGTATCCAAAAACTTCTTTAAAAAGTATTCAGTTAAACCAAAATGCCAGAGACTTAATGGAAGTTTGCAGGTGAGATAACTATCTCTTCAGTTTTTCCTTTCAAATTCAGAATTTAATTCAAAATTTTAATTATAACCTACAAAGCTCTCAACAACCTAGCTCCATCTTATATTCGAGATCTTATTGTTCCATATTTTCCTAACAGAGCACTTTGCTCTCAGACTGAAGGCTTACTTGCGGTTCCTAGAGTTTCCAGGAGCAGAATGGGAGGAAGATCTTTCAGTTATCAGGCTCCTCTCTTGTGGAACCAACTTCCAGTTTCTGTCCATAAGGCTGACACGTTGTTAATTTTTAAGACTAGGCTTAAGATTTTTCATCCATCCATCCATTATCTTTTGCATGCTTCTTCCATTTTGGGTCAAGGGGGCTGCCAATGCCTATGTCCAGCAATCACTGTGCGAGGGACAGGGTACATCCTGGACAAGTCGCAAGTACATCACAGGGCCACATAGAGACAAGTGAGACAAACAACCATTCACTCTCTCACTCACACCTAGGGACAATTTAGAGTTACCAATCAGCCTAACATGCATGTTTTTGGTCTGTGTGAGGAAACCGGAATACCTGGAGAAAACCCACGCATACATGAAGAGAACATGCAAACTCCACCCAGAAAGGCCTCTGTAACAGGATTTGAACCGGCAACCTTCTTGTTGAGAGGCAGCATCTCTACCAGTTATGCCACCGTGCTGCCTGCTAAAGATTTTATTTTTTATCATGAATCCTATAAGTAGGGCCAGATTGTTTGCTGCCATAGGCTTAGAATACAGGAGGACAAATTGTCCACATTTCCTAAAGTCTTCTTCTTTCGGCTTTTCCTTTTTTTAGGGGTTACCACAACGAGTCATCATCCTCTGTATCCTCTGTCCTCACTCCAACTACCTCCATGTCCTCTCTAACTACATCCATATATGTCCTCTTTGGCCTCCCTCTTTGCTATCTTCCTGGCAGCTGCATTTCTAACATCCTTCTACCAATACCCCACCGGGGTTTGTTTACATCGCCAAATCCCGCGAGTCCGGCCACGGAGGAGGTCTCACGATAATTCACCGCGAGAACTGGAAGGTCACGCCGGTTCACACACCTCCCTCTCCCTCCTTTGAGCACACTGTGTGTCTACTCTCCGGCCCTACCCCCACCATTGTTGCCACTTTCTACCGTCCGCCCAAAATCAACAACTCTTTTATAAATGACTTTGCTGCTCTAATCGCCCATCTCTCAGCTCTTTCACCCAACATTATTCTGCTTGGAGACTTCAACATTCATATGAATGAAGACAACAACCCCCTCACAGGAGACTTCACATCCTGCCTCGACAGCTGTTGCTTCCAGCAGTTCATTAACTTTCCAACCCACATAAAGGGACACACTTTGGACTTATTATGCTGCTCTGGACTCTCTCCTCTTAACTTTTCTTCTGATGAACTTCCATTTACTGATCACCTCATGATTTCATTCAGTGTCAATCTTAAATTTTCTTCAGAGAAACCTCAACGCACTCTTTCCTTCTGTAATATTAAGAATATCAACCATGACATTCTTTTGTCTCATATTAATAATACCATCTTCACCTTCAATTCTTTTAACCCAGATGACCATGTCACATTCTACAATAACAGCCTCACCAACATCCTTAACTCTGTAGCTCCTCTGAAAACCCGGTCTGTCTCCTTCTCCAACTCTGCACCCTGGTTCACTCCAGAACTCCGTTCTCTGAAATCCAAAGATCGGAGGTTGGAGTGACTCTATAAGAAATCCGGTCTCCCAATTCACAAGGAACTCTATGCGAACCACGTCATCCAGTATAAGGACAGTATTTCTCAAGCCAAATACAGCTACT